ATTTTATAAGTCCCAAAGATTAAAAAAAAATAATTAATCATGCTATTGACATTAGCACAATTGAATGTCAAATAAATGAGAATAAACCTAGTATAAAATATGTAATCTCCAAACAGACAAGTATACAATAATGTTGAAAAAAATAAAGACTTTAAGTAATTAAAGTCCTGTTCTTGGATTAGATATCTTATATTCTAAACATTTAAATTCTCCCCAAATTAATCTATAGATTCAATATATTTTCAATAATAGTCCCAATATATATCTTGGTAGAGATGGATAATCTGTTTCCAAAATTTATAAATAAATGCAAAGAGGTAGGAAAGCCAATATATAAGGAAAAAAATGTGTTGGGAGGTCGTGCCTCATACCAAGCACTGGGGAAGTAGCAATGAACTAGATAGTGGCTTTAGCTTTTAAAGTGCTTAGTATGGCTCCTTGAACCCTGTTGCTTAATAAATCCTTATTAAGCACACAACTAATAAACAACTCTGTTCAGTGAAATGTTAAGAACACCTTATAATGGAAAGACTTATCATTGTACTTCATCACCATTGTTCTGTACAATGGCCCTAATTAAAGCTGAAATTTCAGTATTCTTCTGGGCCAGAGTAATTATCATGAATTTACTTTCTTACACTCATTTGAGAAGAGAAAACTATTACATTTAAAAAAAGAACTAAGAATGGATGAACAGAAGGATGCTTTCCTACTACTTTTGGTATTATGATCATATGCTTTTGCCATATCTCTGGTTAAGGGCTTTTTATGGTCATTTCATCTCTGGGGATCCAGCAGACTCTGACACCAATCCCTAATTCTCTACCCCAGGAGAAATCAGTAGCATTTATAGACATGGTGAAAGCATTCAATCCTCACTACTCACAGAGTCAAAGGTTTTCAAAATCTGAGGTTCATATAGAATAAAAATTGTAGCATCTTTAATCAGTACAGGTTTGACTTTCAGGTAGAGATGGAAACTTTTCTCAGGTGAGAGATAAGCCAATGAGAGCAAGCACTTAAACCATAGAAACGCTAAGAAAAATTAGAAGAAAGAAACAGCCAATCAAAGGGACTGGAAAAGATAGAGGACCACATGCTGAAAAGACACAAATTTAGATAAAAACAAAATAGAAAAAATGGCAACGGGAAGGAGACTGGAAAAGACAGTAAAGACATTTTGACACATAAAATGAGACAAAATGAGAGAAAGCCACAGAAATAGGAACAGAAAGGAAACATGACTTTACATATAGTGAGGAAAAGTTTAGTCAGAGAAAGACAAAATGGAACTGTGGCTCATTTGGGAAATGGGCTACTGATTGCAAATTAACTAGGGATATTGATGCAATTGTCTTATGTTTAAATTTCAGGTAAGTCTTAATTTTTAAATTATAAATAAACAGTTGGTAGATTTTGGCATATTTGTATATGGATATAGTTTGCTAAAGAGTAAAATTAGGCTGGGCATGGTGTCTCATGCCTGTAATCTCATCACTTTGGGAGGCGGAGCGGGGTGGATTGCCTGAGGTCAGGAGTCTAAGAACAGTCTGGCCAACATGGTGAAACCCTGTCTCTCCTAAAAATACAAAAAATGTAACTGGGTGTAGAAATGGGAACTCTTTTTAGGTGAGCGATAAACCAATATGAGCAAGAATGAAAACCCAGCTACTTGGGAGACTAAGGTAGGGGAATTGCTTGAACCAGGGCGGTGGAGGTTGCAGGGAGCTGAGATTATGCCACTGCACCCCAGTGAGAGACTCTGTCTCAAAAAAAAAGGGAGAGTAAAATTGTGAGAAGGATGGTGTACCATTTATGCAAAAGGAAAAATAATTATTGTCATCTGTGAAAAAGTTTTAAATTTATGACAATATTATAATATCTTACTCCAATTATTTTCAGCAATTTTAATATAAGCCATAAGCTAATTAGTGGAGAATAGATTTTGAGAACTGCAGCTAAGATGCTAGAGAGGCTATTAAAAAATGGTCTTCTCCTCACTAGTTCTCCCTTAATTACCTGGAATAGGTGAATGTGTGACATAGACCTATTCATGCCTCTGCTCTTTGAAACAGTCTTATTACTCCCAGTTCTTTTCTGTTATTTCTTTTCAACCTCAATGTGATTGAATTGTTTCAATCAACAAGGAACTACAAAGAATCATTGTCAAGACCTAGAAACAGAGTCAAAAGAAAATGAATAGAGAAAAGACAATAAAGGAATTTTAAAAAGTAAAAGGCATGACAGATGGGGCAGTGAAAGGATAAGAAAGAGAAAGTACACACAGAACTAGAGAGTGGAAAGGGGTTTTGGGGGACCAGGCAGTGCAGGAAATGCAGAGAAGTAGCTCAAAGGGTACAAACTTGAAATTATGTAGGAAAAATAAGTCTAAAGATCTAATATCCAGCATGACCACAGTTAATAATATTGTAGAAATGGGAACTCTTTTTAGGTGAGGGATAAACCAATATGAGCAAGAACTAAAACCACTGAAAATTTTCTAAGAGAGTAGAGCTTCGGAGCTCTTCCCACACAAATGCACACACGTGCATGCACACACACACAGACACATGGTAATAATTATTTCACTATGTATATGCATATATATGTGTGTATATCAAAACATTCTGCACACCTTAAATATACACAATTAAAAATTAATAGGAATTACAAACAGAAATATTACTTCCTGTCCTAACTTCAAATCTATTGGCCAGCCTGCAACTGAAGTTTTCTAAACATGGAAATCTGCAAATAGGGGAGGTGCACATAGGGCAGGGACAAAGACAATTCTAAAGAGTGGTGATCCACTTTGTTCTTTGCATTCTTTGTGAGAATTTAAGAAAATGTGATTTATTTTGGGGTTGAAAGAATTAAAGGAGAAAACATGGAATATTTTCCTGGCATGGGGTAAAATAGAAAACTTCTCCACTGTGGCCACAGTATTCTCTCTCTTTCTCTCTTTCTCCTCTGTGTGCTCTGTGTGTGTGTGTGTTCTATGTATTTCAGTGTGAACGCTTATATCATTTTTATGAGCTCAGCTGTACAACAGGAGGTCAAAGAAAATTTTCCGAGTGAGGAGGAAGAAAAAATAAAGTCAGCTGGTGATACTGAAGACTAGAGCGAAAAATGCTGCTTAGGGGTAAAGAAAAATAAATACTCTAAACACATACCTCTGCTGGTTGTAAATAATTTGATGGGTAGCTGACTACTTTGTTTAAGACAAGGGTCTCAAATGAAACCCTTCATATTGTCTAGACTGGAGACGAGTACCAGGGTAGGGTCTGATTCATAGAAGATGGGAGATGCCTGAACTTGGGTAAAAATAGAGAAAGAGAAAAATTCTTCTCATTACATGCAGAAGATGGCTTTGTATTTTATTTTGTTCCTCAGGTGTAGATTCTAAATCAACTCCTCTTTGGAATTCTAGGTTGTACAATCTACGAACTTTCAGTCTTCATGGTATGAAACTGAGATTAAGAATTCATCAAGGAATTTTTAAAATAAAGCTTTTTATTAAATATAATGGAGATAAGAAAAAGAAACAGCTATCGGGAGCCTTGTGATATGAATTTGAGGTCACATTTGGATAGATTTTTACTTTAGGATGAGGCTAAGTCTTATGTTAATCTTTCCAGAGATCAGGGACTAAGGGTCCAGAAGGAGGGATGAGGGAAATGCTGAGATGTTGCTACAGAGAGGTTGTGCTTAGGTCTATGAGGCCCAGACTCTAAGGGACAAGGTAAGTAATTTTCTCAGGGACAGTTAATGGAACTAGACAGGGTTAAAATAAAGAACTAGGTAACAGAAGGGGCAGATGATCTCATAATGCTCAGCTACAATACCTAGTGCCATGAACACAGGATATAGCAAGGGCAACATTGGTACCCAGCACAGGAGGAGAGGCTATTACAATAAAAAATGCTGAGGAAAAATATAGCCAGTCATTAGCATCATATTTTGAAACATTCAGAAAGGTCTTGGTTGTTTCTAAGAGGCACTGATAGTAAATATTTAAGATCTAAATTCTGAATTGCCGTGAGTTCACAGAAGTAGGGGCAAGTGGGTCAGAAAATTAAGAACCACTTAATATTTGAATTGACGATTCTTTTAAAAATGGTATTATAAGTATCATTTGAAGAGAGAAATCATTCAATCAAAAACACAATGACTAGAAATAAGGTGGAATAGTACCTCTTTAAGATGTGTAATATATAACTGTTAAATGCATTGTTCTCATTTTGAGGGACAGCAGAAAGGAAACTGCCATTAATGGACTTTCATAGTTACATTGTGATGTTATGGCCTAAAGATTTACTTTCAAACTATTTAAGCTCTTATTTTACACACACATACACACACGCACACACACATTCTCAGCACTGTATATATAGTTATTTTTTACCATGAAGATTTTTTTTAGGTCAGAAATAGTTGCTATACTAGAAATCTCAAAACTATGTCAGTTAAATAGCAGCTCGATAAAGCTTGCTGGGCTTTTGGATTCCATTTCTCTTGTTCATGCTCTCTTTTCATATGCGAGGTATTTATCTTCTATCACTAAAATATTAAATGTTTAAAATGTTTAAATATTACAAATCATTAAATAAAAGACATCTGAATAGAAATTATGTTGAGTCCATGGGATCAATTTGATTGTCATGAATGAAAGGATAGCCTAGAAGCAATAACTGATTAACTCAAGAATATTATTGGCCAGAAACACATACAAATCCATAGAAATTTACTCTGACTTGTCTCTATTTTCATCTTTATAATAATTAGTAAAAGTTTTTCTCTATTCTCATGTTGCTTAAATTCTTCAGTGTCTTCAATGCAAATCCCACACACTTCCTGTCAGAGATGACCGTATTTGTGTAGTCCACATTTTTGTTCCAGAATTTGGTGCTCAATATTGGGAAATGTTCCTTACATAGAGCCAGCAACAGGTAATCACCTTCCTTCCTCTGTGAGGTTAAAGAAAAGACATATTTCTGTCTTGATTCCATTGTTTGTGCTCAAAAGAGATAACTTTCAAGGTCACTATGGTAGACTGGAATAACAGTGATGCTATGGAGCCCATATTCATCCTGAGGGGTTTTCCTGGACTGGAGAACGTTCATTCTTGGCTCTTAATCCTCTTCTGTCTTGCATATCTGGTAGCGTTTATGGGTAATGTTACCATCCTCTCTGTCATTTGGATGGAATCCTCACTCCATCAGCCCATGTATTACTTTATTTCAAACTTGGCAGTGAATGACCTGGGGATGTCCCTGTCCACACTTCCCACCATGCTTGCTGTGTTGTGGTTGGATGCTCCAGAGATCCAGGCAAGTGCTTGCTATGCTCAGCTGTTCTTCATCCACACGTTCACATTCCTGGAGTCCTCAGTGTTGCTGGCCATGGCCTTTGACCGTTTTGTTGCTATCTGCCATCCACTGCGCTACTCCACCATTCTCACCAACAGTGTAATTGGAAAAATTGCTTTGGCCTGCTTACTACGAAGCTTGGGAGTTGTGCTTCCCACACCTTTGCTACTGAGACACTATCACTACTGCCATGGCAATGCCCTCTCTCATGCCTTCTGTTTGCACCAGGATGTTCTAAGATTATCTTGTACAGATGCCAAGATCAACAGCATTTATGGGCTTTGTGTAGTGATTGCCACACTAGGTGTGGATTCAATCTTCATACTTGTTTCTTATGTTCTGATTGTTAATACTGTGCTGGGTATTGCATCTCGTGAAGAGCAGCTAAAGGCATTCAACACATGTGCATCCCATATCTGTGTGGTGCTCATCTTCTTTGTGCCAGTTATTGGGGTGTCAATAGTCCATCGCTTTGGGAAGCATCTGTCTCCAATAGTCCACATCCTCATGGCAGATATCTACCTTCTTCTTCCCCCAGTCCTTAACCCTATTGTCTATAGTGTCAGAACAAAGCAGATTCGTCTAGGAATTCTCTGGAAGTTTGGTCTAAAGAGGAGGTATTAAGTCACCTCTATCCTCCAACTTTTCCACTGAAAATGTCATGGAAGCTATTTTAGTATATGAAAAGTCAAATATCTGGGTGTTGCTTATCTGGTTAAAATCCTAATTCTTTCACTTTTTATACATGTAATTTTGGTTAATCTTTAACCTATAGGAAACTCAGGATTTTTTTTGGCCAAATTGTGACAACTATGGTCTTATGTATTCTCCAGATCATTGCAAGACTTAAAATAGACAGTGTGTGTGTTAAGTCAAGTTTCTTGAAAACTATACAAATGTATTAATGTTATTAAGTAGTCATTGTTGTTAATGATAATAATAGCAGTATCTTTCCTTATTAAATGCAACAATGTTTATATTGTTTCTCACGTTAATTATCTAAAACTCAGAAATCCATCTCTACCTCTTTTACTTATACCGCTGCCCATATTTTGTTTTTCATGCTCTAATGTCATAACCATTGATAAAAAATTTCTGAGTTCTTAGGGCACGTTTGGAACTTGAGTTCCTGACAGGATTTTGAACTACAGCCGTGGCTGTTTGCTATGCAGAAATTCTTATCTCATAACTTAGTGATGTGCCCTTTCTCTCATTGCTATTCTAGATCTATCAGCTTCTTCAATTTGCCAGCAAATACTGAGTTAGATATAGGGGAGCATTAAGAAATACAGGTTTAGTAACTTGTCACTTGCAAAATCAAATAACAAGAACAAGGGTGGTAAAAAAAAAAGTAACTATTCCAGAGCTTAGTGATGAGTAAGGGCCAGATTTGTGCTGAGAAAAGCCACTTCAGCTTTCTGGGCAGAAAGCAGGATTTTAAGAAAAGAAATTTGGTATGCAGGCCATGCATAAAGCACATGGACTGTGGAGTCTATATGACTTGCTCATGGCTGTTTATCTTGAGTCATCTGGTGGGTCATCCAGCAGTCAGCCTGTAGGGGAGAATTTGGTAGGGTGCTTGGTTTCTTTGAAGACTTGTTCTATGGAACTTCTAGGCAAACATAGAGTTAGATAAGCTGATTGTTGCAGGTGGTTTGGCCAGGGGAAAGAAAGAAATGTAAAGGTTGTAATTGCATTTCTAAAGAGCTAAAAGGTAAGGGAAAAGGGGGAAAAATGATAAAAAAAATGGATTTTTAAAAAAAGTGGGATACTCAGTTACAGGAATTGGTGAAGGCCTGACAGTACATGTCTAAACATCTGGGCAATTGTGTTGACTCTGTTCAATACTATAGGACAGGATTTTTTCGTCTTAATTCATGAGTGGGTTGAGAGTTGTACACAATCTCAATCCTCATCTTTTAATAATACTTTATCTCTTGTTCTACATGCCTATGCAGATCTGTAGTACTGTGTTTATACCAATTTATTTTTTATAACCATGACTGTTTTCTTTTTCACCAGAATGACCTACAGGTATATTTTTTGGATGATATTTTATTATTTCATATAAACTCACTTTCTTTTCAGCTGTATTGCCAACTTTTTGAATATGGGGTCATGTCTATTACCTTATTACAGCACTATATGGCTGGTCTTCCCCAACAATCATGAGTGCTCATTAAATAGTTGAAATGACTATTGTAATTATTGCTGTTAGTACTTGGGATACATAAACTGCAAAATGCATAATGCTAATGTTATACAATGAATGTGTAATAGTGAAGAGATATAATAAAAGATTAGTAAAATTAAGTATAGCCAATGGTATTATTGGAACAGGTACATTTTACAATATTGATATCAATAAGTAGTCAATTTTACTTGAGGATTTAGGAATTGAGAATTGAAGTAATTGACACTTTCACTGTGCATTTGGGTCAAATTCATTCTTGACCAGTTGAACACAGTTGGAAATAAAGTCGTGTGCTGAAGCTGGCACATAAGAGACAATCGTGCATATCTTCTTCCGCTTTCATGATCTGTAATATCAGACAGGTAGTTTGAAATTGGTTATGACGGAAGTATTTAAATCACAGAAATTGGCAAACATTTTATATCAGGGTTTTAATTTTTTTCTTAAAGAGGAGGTGGTTAAATACTTCCCTGGACACATCACTGGACAAGGAATTCTAGAAAGAGGAGGTAACATGAGAAAAGCGAAGAGTTTAGAAAGACTATGTCCTATGACATTCTTCAGTTTAACTTAAAATTTACCCAAAGCATTTTGCATCCCCTCCCACAAAAAAAAAGGGCCCTGACATGGGGTATGTTGGACAAAAATATGTATGTATTTTCAGCCCCATTTCAATGAAAGACTTGTAGCCCCAAATGCTGGCAGTAAGTCCAATAGAAAGCCTTAAATTTTTTTTTTTAAACTTTTTAGGAATTGCCTCAGCTGAAGAAGTATGCCTTGCCTGGGGTCATTCATTAATCCATTCAATGACTAAGGTAGAAAGTTAGAAAAGTCTGGCCCCTTCAACCCAATTCCTTGGGCAATTTTATACTGAGAACTCCCCTCGATGTTGGACAAGGTTGTCTTCAGGCCTGATTCACAGCTCAACTTTTCCTTCTGCCCAATCCTACCCACTTCATTACTTTTTATTTTTAAGATAATTATCCTAGGGATTCTCTTATTAAACAAAGTGCACACTACATTTTACCTTAAAGTCTGCTTCCCAGAGAACCCTGAAATGAGAAGTTCCCAGACATCCTGTGACATATACGTGTTAGGGGTGGCTAATCTTCAGGTCTCATGACATCTAATATATTACTGGTGTAAAGTATTCAGGTTACCAGTGGCAAATCCATATGGGTCTGCAGCAACCTCAATTCTTGCCTCAGAAGAAAGAATTTGACGGAGGGGCGTAAGTCAGAAAAAGAAATCAAGGCAAGTTTTGGGCAGGAGTGGAAGTTTATTTAAAAATGCTTTAGAACAGGAAAAAAAGGAAAGTATGCTTGGAAGAGACCCAGGTGGGTGAACTGAAGGACGAATGTGGTGTTTAACCTCAATCCTAGGACTTTATAGGCTGGCCCCTTTACAGTGATGGTTCCCTTAGGGTGGGCTGCCCACATGCATAGTGCCCCTCTTTCCCTTAGGAAGTGAGCATGCACTGTGTGTTTCGGAAGTTGTACACATGCCCATCTGAGGCTTTCTTCCCTTCCTCGGTGGTGTGCTCTCAAGAGGTGATACCCATTCATTTTGTCTCTTAATGCACATGTCTGGGAAGTTGCTATTAATACTTTAGTGGAACAGCTGTGGACCATCAGGAAATGGCCTCTCCCTGGCACAGGCTGCCAATTTGTCACTCTTAGAGAGGCAATGTGATAATTGTCCAACCATCACCTGACATTCCTAGTGGGTGGGAACTCCTGCCGGACTCCTGCCTGTCTAACTACCTGTAACATAAGAAAGATAAAATAAAATTCTCAAGCCCTTTTTCTTTTTTGCAGGCAGATGAAACAGGATAAGATGTTAAGAGGAAATAGCCATGGTTTTTCAATCTCTTAAGTTTTAAGCAGAAGACCAAACAGTGTATGTATGAGCCTGGAGAAATAAAAGTAACCCTGTAACTCTAGCTGACATTGTAAGATGTATGTATACAACCATCTATGTACTTTCTTAATGACATGTCTGATGACTGGAAATATTTTTAATTTTATTTAAGTCTAATTTATAAATTTGCTTTTATGTTTAGTGTTTTTATGTATTTTAAAGGAGATATTTTCCTATTCTGTCATTCAGGATCCAGTCAGGAGACAAAAATCACACAGTAATTTGAATAGAGTTTGTAAATACAAATGCATATTATTTTTGTAAGAAAATCAACTTTAAAGAAGGTAAAGACAACTCTAAGTAATACCCTAGAGCTAAGGGAGAATTTTGAAAGAAAAAAGAAACTTGGAAAATGGGGAAGGAGCTCCCCACGCCTGAGGTTGAAACTGCATTTGAGAATACATAATTTTAGCATACTGGATTCCAGAAAGGGTCATTACATTGCATGTGTTAAGAAAGACACCTCTGTGGTATATAGGTGAACCAAGGCTGATTCCTTTTCAAGGCAGAGTAGAAGGAAGGACCAGGTCGGGTGAGGATCCTTGGTAGGTACCTATAGCTGGCATTGGCAAGCAATTGATAACTCTTTGAAGTACAGGTGGGCAGCAAATCACAGCTTGGACTGACAAGCTGGGAACACCCCTTCAGGGTCCAAAGAGATTACATCTGGGAAGCCAGCTCCTAAAGTAACTGCAAGATTCAGTAAGGGTCTAGCAATATAGGTATTGTTGAAATTTGGTAGGGTCAGTATTACTAAATATTTCTCATACATACATCTGGTTTTGCACTGTAAAAGAAAAATCAGAGAGGTACACAAGAATTTCTCCTAAAAGTGTCCCTACAGCATCCTCTGCTGGCTAAGTTTAAAATCTTGAATCTGTGAAGGAAAAAAATGCCCATTGAGCCCAGTTGCATAGTTGCAGAATAAACAATTGTCTATATTTGAAACGGGGACAATAAATAAATAACTGACATATTTACTGATATCAATGATATTCTGTGTAATTTTTGAAAGTTGTAAGGCTTTCCTTTTGATATTTCTAAATACAACATGTAGAATTTATTTTTATAGATGATGAGGTAAGGTCAAGGCATATTTTTTGATATGAATACATATTTCACTCAGAACTGTGTAAAAGAAATAAAAATTATAAGACCCCTCAAACTTGTGCAGAAGTGAATACTAAGCCCTAAAGGTGAATCATCGCAACACTCTTTCACATGAATAACTGTTACTACCATTATACATCAGCCAGATTGGAAAGGCAAATGGCCTGAGGCATCTGAAAAGGGCCACTTACAGATCATTCATGAGTAAATTCTTTGCTTGCCTCCCATAAATAAGAACATGCTAATTGTAACTTTAGGTCCACAATCTAAGTCTTGCTTCTAAAACTCCACACTTATTATGTTGCTTATAAGTTTATCTTAACAGGTGCAGAAAAACGTAAAGATTCATTTCCCTCACCTAACCAGAGACAGACTACATAATTAAGTCTTCCTTTACTCCCTTTCTCACTTCAGACATTCACCTTATTTTATGTATAATGTACATTTACTGGATACTAACTGAAGTCTCAGGAATGTAAAAGGGGGTAGGGAGAGGCATGTAAGTTAGGCGCATGTAGGTTAGGACTATTGCCTAACTTACATGCCTCTCCCTACCCTCTTTTAAAGAAATGTGTAAATATGAAATCTTCTGAAAAACTTTGTGGAAATAACACAGATGTGTCTGTGGCTTTTCTTTTTCCCAGAAGTGCCCTAAAGCTGGCTTAATAAACCTCAGTGATTGAGACTTATGCCTCAGTGACTCATTTTGGTTTTCAATCTTTGAATAAAGCAATAATTATCCCCTGTACCACA